GAGACAGAGTTCATTATGGGGCAAACGTGACGATACAGGAGGTTACCATTGGACGTTTGAATTAATCACACAGCATATCTGTACTGAATTCGCCACCATACACACTTTCATTTTACAATCCTAGTTCATGGGCAGGGCGCGTATGCATGCCCATGCATGCACTGTCCCTTTAGACTACATTCATTTAACCTCAAAACATCAAATACAGCCACTTATTAATGCAGAGGAGAAGCCTAACTTTCAGAGGATGGGTATAACTCCATATAGTCATCCTGCTAATATTGAAGAAAATTAGGATTCTTTCTGTATCCTCCTTCACACTGCTACTGACTTGCTGGTACATAGACAACTAAAACAAAAGGAGTCAGTAAACAAGTATGCATATCTTCAAATTATGTAAATCAATATAAAGAGAGAGAGAGAGAGCGAGCGCGCCGAGTGAGGCTTAAATCAATACAACATCAGAGGTGGGAATAAACTATTTATTTTCAGCAGTTTGGGTTGACCATGCATAACCCATGCCCCGCTTGAGTTGTGTGTTCATCTGTAATTCATAGAATTAAACTGCTTATTCCAAATCCCCATGCTGTGTAGTCTCGCTCTCCCCCTCTACATATCTTATATATAGCTCTATATATGTATGTGTATATCTCTATATATCTACATATATACACACACATAGCAATTGTGCAACTAGTAACTTTCACTGAGAATTTATGTGTGTATTCATTTCATTTGGACATTGAGAAGTTAGCGGTCATCATAACTTGTAGTAACAGCAATGGGCTGTAAGTTTTACACAGTAAAATAGTTATCTGTATCTGCTTTATGTGGACCCTAGCTTTGTTTTCTGAAATAATTTGCAGGTGAACTTCAAGGTTACAAATCACCGAGAGCTAAATGGGAAAGAATTGTTCTTGGTTTTTCTGGTTTTGTTTTTTTGCTACCTTTGGGAGATGTAGCACTTGGACAACAATCGTTTCTACAGATACTGTAAGGGGAATACATAATCCTATATTTTCCCTTGGACCTGCTAGTCTCGTGCCAGTGTCATTTTTTATTATCATTCATCTTTTATTCAACTTTTTTACATGAAATGAGATAAACACATTTGTTAAGAATTTGGCTTCCGGACATACAATAATATGATCTGTGTACAAAACTCTGCTGTGTGATCAAATGGCTAAATGTATTGGTAGAAACAAAGGGGGGAAATTAGCAATCACCATGCTTTAGCAAACTAGTGATGCAAAGGAATGACTAGTGGTAAAACAAACATAACCATAACACACATGCTTCTCTTTTTCTGTAATGATAAAATAAAGCATTTAAACTGGGTCACCTATCAACTGACTGGAAATCCTTAATTTAATAAATGAGATTGTATTACAGTTCAAATGATCACCCAAGAGACCAACCAGACTTACTTGACTAGAAGTGTGGTCATTCTAAATAAAAGTTAAACAAAATTGTACCGGGGACCTTTGGGATACTTTAAAGGGGTTAGTGAAGGAAGTGAGTCATCTAGAGTGTAGGTTTCCCTAAGTTCAAGACAGACCTACCATAATAGATAAATGATTTCCAAGTGTCTTATGACAAGTTATGTTATTTTACTATTTACAGCAGACTGATAAAAGCAATGTGTTGAGAAATGAGATGAAATATCTCAAGGTATAGGGTCTTACAGACATCAGGCCGGATTTTCAGTTTTTTAAATCCTGAATAACTCTGGTCAATGGAGTTACTCTTGATGTATCTAGGTGGAAATGTGATGAGAATCTGGCTCCACGTTTATATTACCAAAACATTGTTCCACTGTGATCTAAATCTTATTTGACACCCACCATGAAATTCAGCTGGTTTTCTTTTGTTTTGATCTTCAGACCTGCAGTTACTGAACATAATATACATTAATATATGCACATAAGCATAATGCGAGCACACTCATGAGGTGTATTGACAGTGTTTCAGTTAGCAAGTACACTGAAAATGACACATTCACCCTGCTAATCAACACCATTCTTTGATTAACTTGATAACTGTCATATTGGATTCGTGTTTTACCAGAAAATACAGGGTTTTGAAATGAAATGATTTATACCAGCACTGTTTTGCGTATGCTTCAAAATGAAAATGATTAAATTCAGTGTCTTTCAAAATACAGACAACTTTGCATGTATTACACACACATACACACAGAGAGAAATAAATGTTGTAGCAACTAAAATAGCTAAATTAAAATAATTGATGGATTATGAAAACAGCAAGGATTACCTGAACAAATTTTAAACTTAATCCAACATAAAAAGGAAGAGCAAAAGTTATGAGGTTTTTCTTTTTGATCTTTTCTGATTTTGCATGACATGAAATCCTTCCAAATTCTGCTAGTTCCTGAGTTTCAGGAAATAACATCATCTTGGGCCTTTTTCCCTCATGTAAGGAAACCCATAAATTTTAATGTGGCTTCTCACTTGAATAAGGCTGTAAGATTTGGCCTATTGGGTTTCTTGATAGATGTTCTTTCTTGAATATGGGGAATTGGGAAATGAGGAAAAATATTAAGATGGCAGCTATGTCTCCTCTTTTCGTGCCTAGGATGCCCAGAAGTTAACTCAAGATGGAGCCCTTGGACATATGAACAGGAGAGGTTGGGGACTGAGGTTTCAGAACCCCCCCCCCCAGTTTTGGATGAGAAAGTCAGGGAGGTATTGGTACCTCTGTGATCCAGAGCCTCTACTGGGGGAATATCTCATTTATAACTATCCCTTGTATAGGTCAATTTTTTTGCAATATTATTTGAGATGTTATGCTGCACTGTGGACTCTTATTGCACAGTAAAAGGGTAGGCAACTGGCTTTACCCAGCAGCTTGTCGCTAGGACAGATTCAAACAGAAAAGTTTTATTCCCGGATTTGGGCCCTCTTAGGAGGATCCATAATGTGCTAGGTTCTGAACAAGAAGCAGGGATAGCTTCTCATAATGACTCACGCAAAGCCCAGCCAAATCAATGGGAATCTTTTCACTGGCAGACTTTGAATGATGCCCATATGCTGGGGGGAGGAAGGATCCTATTAGAAAAATATATTTATGTGGAAGGATAGTTGTCATTTCCATTACATTCAAGTGAAGAGTTTAGTAGATCAAGGCATGGGATGCAATTCCTCTTTGGGAAAGATCCACAATGTATTTCGCATTCATCTATTTTCATTTTGCAAACTTTGCATTTAACACTTGTTTACATGTATAAGTGATTGGTGATTATAAAGCAGCAGCATTTGCTTACCAATGCCTGGGGCAGAAGATGTGGAATGGAAGCATGCCCATGTTCAGGTTGGAGTAACATTTGAGATCAGGCACTTCCTGCTTAAAGGCCTGCAGTTGCCTAATGAACCTTTCTGAAATTCTTCTCAAAAGAACCTCCCATTGACCTCTAAGTACTACTGTGGTAACTCAGACAACTGTGATGTGCTGTGAAAGAAGCAAGGTCAGTGGGAGTTTTTCCTCAGTGAGGACTTCAAGAGTTAAGCTCTCAGAGAAAAAAACAGCTTTTTGTATCAAGGCAGTTTATATCTTATCAAGAAAACTAAAAATTGAGGGACGTCCACAACATAAACTAACTTTTTTGCTGTCACCATTATTAATTATTATTATTATTATTACTTTACTTTAAAAGGACCTGTTGTAATATTTGGTATAATACAGGAAGTCAGAGAAAAGCTATTGTACAGCAATTTTTCACCACCAATACACATTTAATATCTAGTGTAACATCATGAAAAACTAAATGTGTGTTTGGAATTTATTTTTTATACTTCCAAAAAGCTTTAATATTGAAACATATACATGATGTGGAAGGTATGTGTATAATCTCACTGTAGTAATGACAACATACAGAATGACCCATAAGTACTGTAAAAATGCTAACCCAAAAATGCAGCTGTGAAGTTCTATTGCATAAGAAAGCATTGTTGTTTAAACTTTAAATAAGCAAGTTTATTAACATATTCTAAGACACTTACCTCACCCTAGTTACTGGCAAGCTCTAGTAAAAGCCACAGTCTGTCACTAGTATATTTTTGTGTGTGTGTGTTAATTTTATAAAAAATTTGGTGTGAGCTTTGATGGATCATTTACAATTTATTAACAGGATCGTCATCTTGATACAGTTAGAAGTTTTTGTTTACCTTACATGCTCACAGAATAAAAAAAGGATTAATATTCATACATAATGAACACCTTTTAATTCAATGTTTGCAAACAAGTGTGGTTATTTCACACACACACAGAAGTGATCTTGTTACTTTTAATTGAAAACTGTGTGTACATGTATATGTATGTGTGTGTATATATGAATATATTTATACAATAGGGCATCTATTTTCCTCACTGTGCTCAGGGATGTCAATGAGAGCTGAGAACAGGCCTTTGTGGTTAGGGAGTCGAAAGAGAGATGATCAATGCATCTGAGAAATCCCTTTACTCCTACTATTCGCATAGGCCTTCTGACATGTAAACATCTACCTACCTGATTGCCCCTGCAGATCAGGCACTAAGAAGTTTAAAATATCCTCAACTGCGCCAGCAAATAATTATCGGCAGGAGCAAAAAGAGAGGCTGGGTTAAAGCCCCTTTAAATTCAGGCCCAGAGTGTCCCAATATTCTAGATAATGACCCATAGTGCATTTGACTGCTTTCAGCCCCCTTGCAAATCACAGCCTCCTTATCTCCCAGGGCTGCTGTCATTGTAATGTGGAGTGAAAAGCTGCTTTCACTGCTGCCTCATCAGTACCACCTGTGGCAGAAGGAAAGAAATCGTGATCGGCAATAAAGTGTTGGGAATTTGCGTCTCTTGTACACTGAGCCTGAGGTAAAAGAAGTGACATTGCGGAGGACTGGCCCTGGCATAGCTGGCACCACTGACGCGGCAATTTTAATGGTATAGTCGCAGTTGCTCTTGCCTTTTGTGTTACACCATTGTATAAACAGCATATGCAATGGGTTTAGCTATGATAGGACAATTATAACTCACCTGTGGCTCTGTTACTCTGCCCTGTTCCTCCCAAACTTCAGGCAACTGTCTCATAAAAGCTAACCCTATTGTGTATCTCTTCTCTGCATATAAATATATATACACACATACATTCATACATATACAAATACCAACCCACAGACAAAATATTTGTTTTTGAACAGTTGAATAGCAACAAGTCAACAGATAGAAAAAAAATGGAGTCATTCTATATTCAGCTCCCAGAAGGTCAAGTTGAGATGTCATGGTCTTTTAACATTCAGTGAAAATTCGCATAAACCTTGCATCTTGCAAGAGAAATCCATTATTGAACAACAGTAAGGGCAGAGGTTGTCAAACACTGACGTACAGTCGGATAGACTAAGTGAGGTTGCAAATTAAACTGAATCTGGAGCAACTGAGGCCTAGTAGTGAAGAACAGTAACTGTAAACTGCGATCTTCAGATTTGATGTTTTCCTTTTCTTGTTGCCATGGCAACTCGGTAGGACAGCTTCAAATGTCAGGAGTTCTTACAGACCTAGGTGATGGGAAATGTGTGTGGTTATTACTGAGCAGGATCACAGCATTCTTTAACTATTCCTTAGGGGAAAAATACATCGAATTACTCATTGGGTTGCATGCATATTATTAAGCAATTGCAGCTAAATCATCCTGGTTCAGAAGCAATTATTTGAAGACAGAAATCTATGGGAGAAATGCCACTTCTGGCATTTAAGGATCTTTAGCAGTGTATAGTCAAGAGGTCTGAGCTCAAAACAGGAGACAGGACCTGTGACCTGATCCTCTTGTACCTTGCCCCTTAGTCAATTACACCTGTGTAAAGTGAGATAAAATACCAACCAATAATCTTTTTTTAACCAATGATCAGTGCAGGAAAAACAGGCAACTTTTTAAAGAATATGCACTTTTTAAAATTATAGTTCTATTGGCGCTTTATGCTCCCTGCAAGCTATGGTTTGGAATAGCTGCTCTATTGATTACGTGGTAGGACAATGGAAACTAAGGATACAGACAAATACAAAGTATACTTCTTATTTTTCCTGTTAGCCAATTTAAAAATACAAATGTTTGCGGGTGTTACACATTCATAGATTCATAGATTCTAGGACTGGAAGGGACCTCGAGAGGTCATCGAGTCCAGTCCCCTGCCCAATGCATTGATGCATAACTCTGCCTTTTTTAGATTGTCACCCTTTACATTGTATCAGAGAGGTGACTACAAAAGACCCAAAGAAGCAGAAGCAGTTAGGATCTGCTCTAACACCCACTGGAGTTAATGGGAGTCTTTCCATTGACTTCATCAGGCATTGGATGGGTCCTTCACTGAACTGAAAATACTGTGTTTGAATTGAGAATGAAAGCACAAGGCTGTTGAAAGGATTCACGTCAAATCACGCAGGGTCCTGATCCTACAATAGTTAGACCCAATGTCAACAGGGCTCCAGGCAGATGGAAGGATCTGCTTCTGTGGAGATCACTGCATGCTTGGGCCATGAAGACACATGTCATACACCCATATCAAAAGAGACGAATGTGTTCACTGAATATGCTTGTCTAATCTATGTTAAATTTCTATTCCTTGATCACCTATTTATCATTTTGCCAGTTAACTATAAACACCTGCAGCCTATTCAAGACACAATGGGCATTATTTAGATGCTGGATTGCTATTTCTGCTTGCTCATTTTTGATTATTTGTTTTGTTCCTTTCAGACAAACTGAGTTTAATATCAGTTTTGATAAAATTGATTTTGTTCTGACTAATTATTTGCTTGTTGTTATTACTTTTGCATTATTTGAATGGAATTTAATGTTAAATTTCACTAACTAGGGAATTACATGCAGCACAACAAAGCAACCCGAGGAAACCTATAACAGCCTACCATCCCCTATGGCAAAATACAAATTACGCAACATATGTTCCTCTAATAAAAATAAGTGGAGGGAAATGAAACAAGAATAAGAACCTGGAGAGAGGCTTTTGAGAACCTACACAATCTCTAGAGCTGAAGAACAGAGTTCAGCCACTGGCTATCTTCTGCTTGCTTTTGTATTCACCTTCCCCACTACTTTCTCCTGAGTTTGCTTAGCTATCATCCATACTTGCTTATATTCTTTCCCAATTTTGAAAACATGCTGCTTTGTGATGTCTACTAGGGCTTCACCTACCATTGAACTTCAGTCATTTTTGGGGTGGAATTTAACTAAAGAGAATACAGTAATGCTATATACTAATACAGTGTGGAAAGGAGGATACTATATATCCATTTTAACAATAGAGTGAATCTTAGTTAGGAAGGATGCAATCACCTGAAGTGGAACATTCTCTGGATGGTAGGGCTAATGCCATCCCAATTTCAAACTACCACAACATTTGGGATGGTTTGGTGTGGGTGTTCGGGTATGGTTATTAAAGGCAGAGATGCTAATCACAAAATTCTGATCCATGTTTGGATATGGATACTCCCTGAGCACCACCACCATTGTGTAGATGTGTTTGGATGAGGGGTTCAGATTTGGGCCAGTCTTTCATAAATGCCTTGACCTCTGGTGACAGTGAAAAATAAATTTCACATCTCTGAAAGGCAATACGATGCCTCTCAGCATCATGAAGGGGCTTTTATTCAAGCCTGACTCACACGAAGTTGTGCTGCCTTTTGAATCAAAAATCTACTCTGAGTTTCTAGGAGTCTCTTAGAGGTCTCCAGCTAAGGACAGCCAGTCACACATGGCAAATAAACAATAATCATAACACTCAATATCTGGATAATCCATAGGCTGAAATTTCTTCAGAAAATAAAATTTCAGGACACAATTATGAATCCCAACACAGTCAGGAAATTCCTAGTTGGTTCATCAGCAGCTTGTGAACAAGAAATAGGGGCTACATTTGCTGCATTAATCATTCATTCTAAATAGGTTGCCCAGCTCTAGTTTTGAGCATGATTTTTTCCATGCTAGTTTCTTCTCGACTGGAGTCTAATATAACTGTAACATAATATATATTTCAAACCCCTGCTTCATGCAGTATTGACAGTTCCTACTGTGCAGTGCTCATGGAGAATAAAATATATTTTTATGATGCAATGGTCATATTTTGAAATTTTTCTCCACCTGCAAACAATCACACAACTCCCCCCCCCAAAAAAAATCCCATGCCCCTCACCTTCTATCTCTGAGTGCGAATTCCCAGTAAACTCACCCATTTACCAACTAGAATTTAGTTCCTCTGCTCAGCAACTCATGCAATATTCCCAGTGCAATTTCAACCAAATAAAAGAAATGCATTTAAATGTGCTTTGAAAAGTTGCATCAGCTGCTCTTCCTAATTGGAATGTCACCAAACTGATAACGAGAGGAAGAGCCAACGAAAGATGAGATCCTGAACATATTCAACTCCCATTGAAGTCGACCGGAGACGCTGGTGCTCCGCAACTCTTATGATCAGGCTTACTGGGTTACTGGAATGGTAAAAGGGGCCATAGAGATTATCAGAGAGTGCACATTGGCTGAGAAGCTAATTGCACTGGGCTGCAATTTAAGTGAGGGTTCCAGCTGAAGGCTAAGGTTCTGCTGTGTAGGGTTATGGAATTTAAGCTTTGAGTTTGTGCATGCATACACACAATCACAGACATACACACTTTTAAGAAACATTAGGGGGAAAAAACCCTGCCGTTTTTCATCCAACTGTAGCAGGTGGAGATTCCATCTGTACTGGTTTTCTTGAGGAAAAAATAGACTTTTATTTTTTATCAAGAGAAAGCTGTCAAGATTTTCAGTGGGAGTTAAGGTTATTTCTTTATGAGCCATGTAGTCTATCAAATGAAACCCTGGCAACAGTGAGACAAAGAAAACTGTTCATTCCATAGGTTCCAGGGACAGCACAAATGATGTACTGCTTCATTCTCCTGGATTTTGATGTGACCAGAAGCCCTTGATGGGACTCTTTCTTTTTATCTTTTTTTTTTTTTTTTTTGCAGATTGTACACTTCCTCTTCATTTTCTGGTCTGGCCTTCAACACGGCCCTGTAGCCATCCTTAGCTTCAGGTGTGCAGATGACAAGGACAATCCTATTCTAAGCACTGTTGGTTACATCGGCATCAGCCATGCACTATGATCAATTGATTGGCTTAATTTTGCTGCTTCTTCTGCATGTAAATTGCCTGTGAGCTGCTTTCAGTTCTCTGAGATATATGTTTTTCCAAATTATGTGCCAAATAATTGCTGCAAATAATTCTCTTCTGTATCTTGAGATACAGAAGAGATACTCAATAGTTGAGTGTTAATTAATTTTGATTGCACACAGCGGTAACATGATATGGTTTACGTTCCCTGATCAAATTCACCCAACTCTTCTATTCCAGTGTGAATATCAAAGTTTGCCAATTCAAAATTTGCTCTCCAAGAATATTCTCAAACAGTCACTTAAAATGTAGCATTTTCACAAACACTCTGGCCAGTAAAACTCATTTCCTGGAATAGCTGCAGAAATTAAGAAGAGCCAAAGTAGTGGGCAAGATGCTCACGTGGGATAAATGAGTGTAGCCTCACTGAAATCAATAATGCGATGCTAATTTAAATCAGCTCCCTTGCTGCAGATTAAGCCAACGACTTGTAGTCCTACTTTTAGTGGACATAGAGAACAATTGATCACCATCCTCTTCATAACAGTCTTAACATAGTTGAAGACTGTTATCACGTCCATCCTCCGTCTTCTTTTGTCAAGTCTAAACATGCCCAGTTTTTTTAACCTTTCCTCATAGGTCAGGTTTTCTAAACCTTTTAGCATTTTTGTTGCTCTCCTCTGGACTCACTCCAATTTTTCCACATCTTCCCTAAACTGTCGCATCCAGAATTGGACACAGTACTCCAGCTGAGCCCTCCCCAGTGTCGAATAGAGTGGGACAATTACCCCCTATGTCTTACATACAATACTCCTGTTAATACAGCACAGAGGAGACCAGTCCTCTGAGGCCTGCCAATTCCTTCATCTCTTTTAAGCGGCTGAACACCTTCAAACTCACACTTGACCTCAATGGGAATTGAAGTTGGACTATTCTATTTAGGTACTCACACCATGCCCATTACCCTAGTATTTGAACACCCCCAGTCCGTTGCATAACCAGACCAATACATCTATGAAGTTATGCCTCAAGATTAAAGGCTAACATCTCTGTTTTCTTGGCCACTGAATGTTAATGTGCTCTGCTTACAAGGCCTTGGCATTGACACTAGAAAAAAGCGTTATTCCTTGTCACAAAAGAGGTACGTTTTCTGATCTGAGAGCCATCAGCTGTAATGGCTGTAATTCAGGAGATCCAACACTTGCTCACAAAAGAAAGACATTATTTAAAATAATATTGACCAGTTTTTCGGTGCTGCTCAAGGTATGGGTCAGACTTCCTAATTTATGAGATTCTTTGGTATTCTTATAAGAAAAAATAACCTGACAAACTTCCAACAGGTTTCACTTTCAATTTTGGTGGGAAAATAAATTTCAAAGAAGGAGGGACAAT